ATTATTATTGTTATGATAGTTGATGCAACTTTTGTCATAACACGTTGTTCTCAATCCTTGACGCCTTCCCTCCCTCCCTCCCTCCCTCCCTCTCCAGGAGTCACATTCTTCAGGCAGACTCTGAAGAGGACTGCCAGACGTGGGTGAAGGCTCTCAATGCAAGCATCAGCCAGGCTTACAAGGACACCATGCACGAAAGCGACAAGGAGGTTTGATCTTCATCTCCATTATCATCATCATATTATATTCATTGTCAGTATCTTCGTCGTCATCATCATTGTCTTTATCTTCATAATCGTTCTCATTGTCATCATTATCATAATCATCATCATCTTTGTTATCATTACTTTATCTTCATAATTGTTCTCATTTTCATCATCATCATCATCATCATCATCATCATCATTATTATCATTATTTTATCTTCATAATTGTTCTCATTATCATCATATCATCATCATCATCATCCTCATCATCGTCACCATTGTCTTTATCTTCATGATCGTTTTCATTGTCATCATCATCATCTTCATTATCATTATTATCATCATCATTATGTATTCACTGATATAAGCAAATATGAATTTTTCCACAGTTATTGTTCCTTGTCCTTGAATTTATGTAAAACGCCTTGAGCTGTGTGCATACTGGAGAAGGCATTATAGAAAATGATATACATGTATTATTATCATTGTAATCAGCATTATCATCATCATCATATTCAGTGGCAGACTTATTTAAAAAGCAATCTTAAAAGTTGATGAAGTTATCAGTGACTGTTAGTGTTAAAAAGTCCCGATATTTTGTCTCTAAACTTTGTCAAGGAGTATAATAGAATAGACTATAGGGTCACTTTCCTATACTGTATCATCATCATCATCATCATCATCATCATCATCATCATCATAATGGACTTCCAAAAGACGCCAAAAAAAAGGGTGGAGACTAGATTTTTCAAAAAATTATATACGTTAAGCCATCTTAGGGCTTTCTCAGGAACATTTTTAAAAAATCTTCATCATCATTATTATTATCATCTTCAGCTTCATCATAACTTATTTAGTCTCACCAAAGTTCTTAAGGAATTTCCCAATAAGTTTACAGTTTACGGTAGAACTTTTGTCTTACGCATATTTTTTAAATTTTACTATCATTGAAGGCTGAGAGTACCAAACTCGGCTTTTCAAGACATTTGTCATCGTAAAATATTCTAATCTCTTTTGCTTGATTTGTTTTCAGTCAGAGGAGAAAAGTTCCACCAGTTCAGGAGCAGAATCTAGTCAGGGAGATAACTCATCGGCCCAAGCCAAACCTTCCAAAGAGAAACTGTGAGTTGTTTCCCTTCTTTCCCTTTGTTTAGACGTCTGTGTAAACGGCACTCTATCAACAAGTCAGGAGCTTTAGTTTTCATACATTTTTTTGATAGTCTAGGCGTATGGAAATATTTATACACCATGTTTTCTTAAAATGATAAATGATGTAGTTGGTTTGAGGGGGGGGGTAGTTTTAGAGTGCTCCTGGTGGTTGAAGTTCAACTTTTATTTTCTCCCTCTAGTCTATCTGTTTTGCTTTTTCTCAGCGCTAAATCGTTGAAATTGTATCGATGTACTTCAACGAAAAAGACAATCGTATACTCTGAATAAAGGAAAGTACTACTTGTGTGTTCTTTTTGTTCTACTTTCCTCCTGCCCATGCTTTGGCTCCTTTATAGCTTTTAGAGACATTTACATGATTAATGTTGTGTTTGTATGCTTCTTTGTATCTCAAATTAAAATTGTAACCCAGTCTCATCTCTCTGTCCCCTTTCAACAATCCTTCCCCACCCCCTTTCTATACACACACATACAAACACAAACACACACACACACATACACACACACACACACACATATATACATGCACACACATGCACACAAACACCCACAAATACTCACCTGCACACACACACACACTAAAACACACAAACACACCCACATA